GTTGTTTCTCTTCTATACGACTCTGCTCTCCCGACTACCTTTTGGGTCGAAGCTCTTGCCACAGCAAACTATCTTATCAACCGTATGCCCACCAAAACTCTCTCCAACAAATCTCCCTTTGAAACTCTTTATAACCGTCCTCCTACATATACCCACCTTCGTGCCTTTGGTTGCTTGGTCTATCCATGGCTCCGCCCTTACACTCACCACAAACTTCAACCACGCTCCACTCCTTGTGTCTTCTTAGGATATCACCCCACCACTAAAGGGTATAAATGCTATGAACCCGTGTCTCAAAAAGTTTATGTCTCTCGTCATGTTCGGTTCGTCGAGGATCAGTTTCCATATCCCAAATTGTCATCCCTCCCGTCACCCTCTCCTATAACCCCTATTTTTCCTCCAAGCCCAGGCTCACATGCTCCTGTCCCACTGACGGTCCAACCCCAGACCCGTCCCACCAGTCACGGACGACAGCCCGACACCCTCCCTATGGACACGCCACAGACGGTCCAACCCCAGAACCGTACCCCAACCCACCCTCGACCGTCACCTACTCCTCTCCAAAACACACAACCGGTTAACCGACCCCCGCCCCAAAACACACACACCATGCAAACCCGAGCCAAATCTGGAATTTTCAAACGTAAAGCCTATACCATTACCACCCTTGATACTACCCCACCTACCACTGAGCCTAGCACTTACCGCCAAGCCTCTGGTAATAGTTTTTGGTGTCAGGCTATGGATGAGGAGTTTATTGCTTTGAATGAGCAACGTACATGGGACTTGGTTCCACCACCCAAGAACCGCACTCTGATTGGTTGCAAATGGGTGTATCGCATTAAACGGAATGCTAATGGATCTGTTTCAAGGTATAAGGCTCGTCTTGTCGCAAAAGGTTATCATCAGGAGTATGACATTGATTACAAGGAGACATTCAGTCCTGTGGTCAAGCAACAAACAGTGCGCCTGGTCCTCTCTTTAGCACTCAACCGTGATTGGCCTCTTCATCAACTAGAGCTTAGCAATGCCTTTCTTCACGGTACAGTGGACAAGGAAATTTATATGGAGCAGCCCCTGGGGTACATAAATCCCACTCATCCTCACTATGTTTGCAAGCTCCGCAAATCACTATATGGTCTCAAACAGGCACCCCGTGCATAGTACACACGCCTCTCCTCTTTTTTGCAGGGCCTTGGATTCAAGTGCTGCATTCATGATACCAGCTTGTTCACTAGACACTGCTCTCGTGGGACTATTATTGTCCTTGTCTATGTTGATGATATTGTTCTCACTAGCAGCTCTTCTACTCTCATCTCAGAAGTTACTCAGGCCATGCACCGTGACTTCAAGCTCAAAGAACTTGGACCTCTTCATTACTTCCTTGGCATTGAGGTTCAGCGCACGCAAGATTCTATACTTCTCCATCAATCCAAATATGCCCGTGATCTTCTACGCCGAGCTGGGATGTTCGACTGTCATCCGGCTATTACTCCTATGGCTATGAGACCTATCACTAAGCCTTCGTTGCCTTTCAAGGATATTTCTCATTTTCGGAGCATTGTTGGCGGTTTACATTACTTGGCTGTCGTCCAGACATTCAGTATGCTGTTAATCGAGTGTCTCAGACTATGCACAACCCCACTAAGCAGGACTATCATGCCTTGCAACGCGTTCTGCGCTATCTCAAAGGCACTTTGAATCATGGTCTTCTTTTTCGCAAGGGGGGATTCGACCTATCTGTCTACTCTGACTCTGACTGGGCCAATGATAAAGATGATCGCAAGTCTACCACGGGCTACATACTCCTACTCGGTCCTAATATCATCTCTTGGTGCACAAAAAAGCAGACTCGTGTTTCTAGATCATCCACTGAAGCTGAATATCGAGTTATGGCTGCAGGGGTTGCAGAAGCTATGTGGCTTCGATATATCACTGATGCACTGGGTATTCCTTCGTCCAAATCGAAGTTATACTGTGACAATGAGTCGACTATCTGTGTCACCAAAAATCCGGTTCTTCATGATCGCATGAAGCATGTGGGCACAGACTGTCACTTTGTACGAGATGAGGTTATGGCAGGCATTATGACTCCACATCATGTTTCCTCCTCAGAGCAGCTAGCAGACATTCTTACCAAACCGCTTCCGCCAGTTCCTTTTGAGTACTTATGTTCCAAGCTGCCCCTCGTCTCCGTTGATCAGCTTGCGGGGGGATATTAGGAAGTATAATTAAATTAGGATACTTCTTTCCTTTCCTACTAGGATTATTCTTTCCTTTCCTACTTGTACTTTGATTACTCTTGTATTCCCTATATATAGGGCCATATCTCTCAATATTCAATAAGACAAGTTATTATCAAATTGTATCAGACAAAAAAGGCTACTTCGTTTTTTTTAATTTAAAAAATGAGAATTTATAGTTATATTTTATAAGTAGATTTTTTTGTATTTTTTTCATTTATCATTCTACAAATAACAACCATGCATGATATATTTTATTTTATAATTTTTTTAAATATGATATCATATATTTTTATTATACTCTACACCAATTTTAATTTTTTAAATATGATATCATATATTTTTTTTGTTGGACAAAAAAGGCTACTTCGTTTTTTTTAATTTAATAAATGAGAATTTACATTTATATTTTATAAGTAGATTTTTTTGTATTTTTCTCATTTATCATTCTACAAATAACAACCATGCATGATATATTTTATTTTATAATTTTTTAAATATGATATCATAAATATATAAAAATATTCTACACCAATTTTAAATATGATATCATATATTTTAATATACTATACACCAATTTTAATTTTTTAAATATGATATCATATTTTTTTTGTTGGACAAAAAAGGCTACTTCGTTTTTTTTAATTTAAGAAATGAGAATCTACATTTATATTTTATAAGTAGTTTTTTTTGTATTTTTCTCATTTATCATTCTACAAATAACAACCACGCATGATATATTTTATTTTATAATTTTTTAAATATGATATCATAAATATATAAAAATACTTTACACCAATTCCGGTGCCGTGAGGATCACAGAGAGACGCAACACCGAGAAAAGGGTAAGAAACGGAAAAGGGGTGAACTGCTAAGTAAAATGCTGCTAGGGTTGGCATTTCAATTTTTGGCGGTTCGGTTCTAAATGCCAATTCCAAAAGCCATTATCCAAACAATTAATTTGGCGGTTTGACTAGTTCAATCCGCTATTTATGGTCAAAGATGCCAAATGATAGGTGAACCGCCATTTAGCAAACATGGCCAATGTGAGAGATATGTGAAAAAGAATAAACCCTTAAGTGGTCGTTGGCGGTGTAACAAGTGACCGACGATAATGCCAAATGGATAGTTATGGATAAAACCCCTTGTGGGTTTCGGATTAGTGACCCTTAGTTATCGATAACGTATTCAATGTCAATAAATCAACTTAATTAAAGATTGGAATATGAGATTTTAGGCACGCACAAATAGAGTTTTTATACTTCAACACACACCAAAATACAAAAAACTAATGATGAATTTAGTACTAATTTGTTTGAGAGCAAAAAAATATTTTTTTAATAAGAATGCATTGTATTGTATGTGAAGCAGTCATGCATGCAGTAGTTGGGTCGGGTCTACCCATCAGTTCGCTGGCAATTTAATATCGAATAAACCAAATAAAACTACAAAACAGGCCGGCCGGATTCCTTTCATCCCTAAATAAAGTTTCTTAGTTTGATTAGTTTTAAAACAACAAAATTATTTGATTGAAGTTTATGCAAAGAATAAGGGTCCGTTTGGTATACGGAATTGATGTAATTGGAATTGAATTGGAATTGAAATTCCATGGAATTCAATTCCATAGAATTGAATTCTGTCAATTTCAATTCATTTTTTGCACTATCAATTCCAAATCCACACAATTTTTGTGCTACCAAACACCAGAATTGGAATTGAAGTCTTCAATTCCAATTCCATGGTTTGAATTCCATGTACCAAACGGGGCCTAAAAGTAATTAATATGACCCATTCGTTTTTTTCCTAAATAAAATTGAAACTTTTTATTAAAAAAAAAATACTTCCTCCGTTCTCAAAAACACTTACTCTTTCATTTTTTTCACTTCCAACAAAACACTTCCACTTTCTATTAAAAAACCACTTTTACCCTTACTTTTTCATACCCTACCTATCACACCATACTTTTTCTTTAATAATCTATCCATCACATCTTACTTTTACCCATCACATCAGGGGCAAAATTGGAAGTCAACTACGGAGTATAATTTAACACTTCCTTATTTTTTTGCTCCAAGTCAAAATAGGAAGCATTTTTGCAAATGGAGGGAGTAGAATATCTAAATAAGGAAACTAAGAATTTTTATTAATTAAAAATGAGAAAAGGGGTCCTAGAGTATATGATTTGATCGACTCTGACCCTATTTGATTCAAATGCTTGTATTTGTATTGTTGTGTTTAGAAAAATTGTTGAAAATCTTTAAATTTGGAGTGTTGACATTATGTCTCGTTCAAGATATTTGAGAGCAAAAAGAAATGAAAATAATTAGGGAAACAATTTTTTATGTTTGATTAGTGTGAAAAGGGGAAAAAAGAGCAAAAAAGATATTAATTTTCAACCTATTAAAACATATAACGTTACTGCTCACACCAAGTCTTTGACAAGTAATCACTTTAATACTACTTGACAACAAGGTCTTGAATAAGTAATGCTACAACCTCGGTTTTTGTAAACACTTCATCTTTCATTTTTTTCTTTCACTAAAATGCTTTTACTTTTGAAAAAAAAAATTAATATTTCTCCTACTAATTCTTACTTTATCTATCACATCATACTTTTTCATTAATAATCTATCCATCACATCTTACTTTTACCTTTATATCATGGATAAAATTGGAAAGTCGACTAGAAATATACACCTCTTATTTTTTCCATTACTCCATATAAATTTCCAAAAACATTAATCTAAATAGGAATCGTTTTAAGAGAAAATAGTAAATTGGAGTGATATATGGATATAAATTGCATTTTAGTCGCACTAGAAAAAATTGTATTCTACTCCCTCTCGTTCTAAAAACATGGAAGTTATTGATTTTTAAGAGATTTAAGGCAAATGTATTTTGGTATTGAATTCCCAAAAAATCCTTTAATGTGATAGATAAAAGTAGGATTTGATGGTAGATTATTAATAAAAAGATATGGTATGATATGTAGGGTATGGAAATGTAAGGGGTAAAAGTGACTTTTTAATAGAAATAAAAAGTATTTTTAGAACGGATAAAAAAAGAAAGTAGAAAGGTTTCAGGACCAACCGTGTAAAACTTTATCATAAATAAAGAAGCTTAATCGTTGCATGCATGCGTTAGTCTTTCTTTGGATTTCTCTATAGGAATTGATTTATCAGTAATTTAAAAGTTAAATTTGCCACCCCTAATAATCTTTCCATGATAAACTCATAAAACAATTTGGTCATGACTCATTACATTTTTGAGAAAAGTATATCGTTTACCCTGCACCGAACTCTTTGGA